AAGGGTCAGTGCACTTTGATCTTCTTCATTATTTCTAGTCCTGGTTCTGTGACTGATGTTCAGTAGAACTTTGAGTAAGTGCCTCCCTGGTGCTCAGTTTCTGCGTGTATACAGTATGGCAGACCAGATATTTATTCATCCACTCCACAAATATTTATTAGACATCTATGATACACTAGACTTTATGCTGGACACCAGGGATACAAGATGAAGAAGACCAAACAGGGTCTGCCCTGGAGAAGTCGCAGTAGAGTGAAGAAGACACTACTTAACAGGAGGTTACAAGTCCTTGGGAGGGTCAGGAAGGAGCCAGTGGCAGGCAGGCCTTGTCCAGGTATGACTCAAGGGAAGGCTTCCTGTATGGAATGACATTTAACTGGAGGTCACAAGAATGAGTAGGAGTTGGCAAGGTGGGAGATGGGAATGTGTAAAGTGGCGTGGAGTGATCTGGGAAAGGAGGTATCAGACAGGGTAGCAGTGTGAATGAAGTACTTGAAGATGAGCGAATATGACCCTCTCCATTGCCAATATTCTAAGTGCATTACTGCCCAAACGTCTCATGTTTGAAAAACCATGGATAGAGGGGGCACCAGGACTCATCAAATGCAGGTGGGGGCATTTTCAAATTTACTGGGCAACCAAGGGTTTGTTTACATTTTTTAAAAGGTTAGCTACCAACAGTGAATGCTTGGTGGTCCTTTTGGGAAGATCTGACCTCTAGTTGTGTGTTGCTTAACTCCTTTGCTAAGATAGTTTATCAGAAGTTCTTAAATGTGGCTTCACATTGGCATTGCTAGGAGAAACTTCAGAGAAAATGCTGTTTCCAGGCCCTACCCTCAGGACTCTGATTCACGGCCTGTTCCTCATGTGCATCGACAGTTGGATATGCTAATGAGGGGACTATACTTTATTGGTTCTGGAACATGTTCTGTGTTCTTTGTATGCAACTGGACTATCAAAAGTTATGCGGCCATACCCTTGATAATGGTATTAGCTTCCTAATGATCAAAAGGTTTGGAATTATGATTGAGTATCTTTCCCTTGGTGTTTATTGAGGACAGATTCGAGAGGCAGTCATCTTCAAAATATTTCTGCATTTGCTGTAAAACTATTTTCAAAGGCATCACAGAATTCACTATAATAAATTTGTTTTAGAATTTGTCTTAAGAATTGGTATGCCTTCTCCCAGGCAAGGAGAATTTAGTAATCTAACATATTTACCATTTTGCTTTGGCTGCCAGGAAACTCAGAGTCAAATCTGAAGCCTACCTATAATAACTATACAAACTGCAAGATAGTGTCCCTCTTTCTCATGGTTTCAGCTCCACATTTCTAGTTTAATACTATTATCAAGTGTATATGAAGTGTCAACTATTTCTAAGTCTGAATGAAAGCACTTCAGAAGCACCAACCTGCACATTTTTCAGGAGTCCGTGGAAGAATGACAGTCCAGGGCCATAGACATCACTGTTGTTATGATGCAGACAGTAGGCACCATCTACTAGTAGAAGATGGTGGGAATGGAAGCATTTGTTGAAGTCACATGCATTTGGATCAAAGGCAAAAGCATCCTTTTCCACAATCACATTAAGAAAGGAAATGGATGGGGGCGCCTGGGTGGCTCAGTCGGTTGAGCATCTGACTTCAGCTCAGGTCATGATCTCAGTGCTTGTGAGTTCAAGCCCCATGTCAGGCCCTGTGCTGACAGCTCAGAGCCTGGAGCCTGCTTCAGATTCTGTGTCTCCCTCTCTTCCTGCCCCTCTCTCACTTGCACTTAGTGTCTCTCTCTCTCTCTCTCTCCTCTCTCTCCCAAAATAAATAAACATTAAAAAAAATATTAAGAAAAGGTGGTGGGTGTTCCCCATCTGAGTCAGCATTTGTCTCATGAATGTTCCCTCAAAAAAAAAAAAAAAAGGGCAAGAAACAGTGTACACAGTATACAAGCAAAGCCCCACCCCCAAGCCACTGTTACAATAGAGGCTCCTTTACAGAGGAGGGAAAGAGAGGCTCAGAATGATCCTGCAAATCCAGGAGGCGGCCGACCTGGGATGTGAGTCTGTCCTCCCTCCTTCTGATACATTTCTATGTCACCTGTAAGTGAGCTTAACTGCTCAGTGCCCGCCTCTTCTAGGGCCTTGTGAATAGTTGTTTTTTTCCTTCCCCTGGGGGGTTCATCAGGCCCCTTGCTGCTGGCCCTCTCCAGTTCTTCTCACTCACAGACAAGCAGGCCTTTCAACTACATTTTGATGGCACACTCCGTTTCCCTCTATCCGTCCAATCTTTTGGATCAACAATCCAATTTAGGTCTTGTCATTCTAAAGTTTTACCCTTATCTCCAGTGTATTCCTCTCAGTCTCTCTCTCTCCTCCCTCCCCACCTTCCTGTCACACCTGCACCCCGTTGTAAGCTTCCAATAAATGTAAAGTAAAGGTGCCATGTGAGGATACAGCAAGAAAACCAGGAAGAAGGTTTTCACCAGGAATTGAGTTGGCCAGCTTTCAGAACTGTGAGGAATATAAATAAAAAAGAGAGGATCACACAGTAATACATGGTTGCCTCAGGCTGGGCCCTCAACAGGGTCTGCGGGAGGTCCAGGAGCCATGAGGAGGGGCTCAAGGCTGTGACCGTTACCTTGATTTTCTTGTCTAGTACACCTGCAATGGGATAAGGTCAGCAGATAGAGATAAACCAAGGGAGCCCCGGATGTTAAGGGGCATAGTCTAGTGGATGTGGGATGCTAGATCATAATTAAGATGAGATCTTCTGTGTGACTGCTATAAACCAGCTGTCAATCAAGACATACACATAAAAAGGCTTAGCAAAGAATTGTTCAAAGTAATCAGAGGCAGACTATTTATTGGAACCTTGAGTAGAAACGTAAATATTAGTTGGGTTGAATTGAATCAAATTGCAGAACATGGATTCAAAGGAAAGAAAGAGTAATAAACTGTAACATGGTGTAGTATTAAGAACAGGACTTCAGAGTTGGAGAGATTTAACTCCTGGTTCTGGTGTGTTTCAAACTAACTGAGTGACTTTGAACAAGTTACTTAGATTCCTTGAGCCTTAGTTTCCTCATTGGAAAATGAACTGATAATACTTATCTTTGGGGTTATTATAAGGATTAAATGCAAAAATACATATAGCATACTTAATGCAGAGCTTAGACCATAGATGCTTAATAAATATTAGCTGTTATTATTATTATTACATTAATAATTATAAAGATACATATTTCTCCTGATAGAAAAACTGTTGTTCCTAACTAAGTGATGATAGGCAAGTCATTAAACATGATGTCTGGTTTAATCCCATCAATGTAAACGTAATGCTACCTTTGTGCTCTGTGCAAAGCTGGCATACGTGGAGCCAACAAACCACTCATGATTCCCAAGTGCAGAATGACAGGCCTCCAAAACTCAAAGAAACCTGCAGTGTATTCTTTCTTAGTAATGGGAGGTACAGAGCACAATTTGTCCTTTACTTTGAGTGGATGTTCTAGCATGGAACATCTAGCATTAGGACCACTGGAGGCCTAAAAACTTGGTTCATCTTTTCATTATTGGGTTGTAAGAGCTCTTTATATATTCAAGATGCAAGTCTTTATCAGATATATAATTTGCAAAATCTTCTCCCATTCTATGGGAGTTTTCTACTTTCTTGATGGTGTCCTTTGAATCATAAAATTTGAAAATTTGAATATATCCAATTTTTTCCTCTTTTTTTAAAAAAATAAACAAATGTAATGCTACATAAATGCATAGTGAAAATGATAAGCAAATGTATTATTAGAAGCAAACAGTGTTTTGTTTTTTCTTATTTTTCTGTGATTCATTTTTTTTTAAGTTTAAAAAAATAATTTTGAGAGATAGAGCATGAGTAGGGGAGGGGCAGAGAGAGAGTCTGATGCAGGCTCCGAGTGCCACCAGCATGGAGCCCTGTGTGGGGCTCGATCTCACAAACTGTGACATCATGTTCTGAGCTGAAATCCAGAGTCTGAAGCTTAACCAACTGAGCCACCCAGGTGCCCCTCTGTGATTCATAATGCTGTTTAAGTCAGATAAAACAGAACCTTAAAACAGAAAAGACTCTGGTTCTAGATGAACTCTCTAACTGCTGACCTTGAAGTAAATGGCACAAGTGACCAGAGTCACTCAAGTAATGTCATCAGCTTAGACCTTCCTCCTCTGCACGTTTCCTCACACATGAACCCTTGTGCAGAGGGGCTACATGCAGCCATGCATGCACAGCCATTTCTCTACTTGGTTTCCCCTTCTCCTCCCCTGCCCCTCCTCCTTTCCCTCCTTCTTCTTAATATATGAACCTTTCCATTTTACAGACAAGCCTCACTGGGTAGAAGAAGCACTAATAAACTTGCTAATGGATAAATTGATTTTAGCAGCCAGGAGAAGAGTGGTTTATCACTATAGCAAGCTTGCATGCCATACTTGGGGGGAGTGTCTGTGATCTTTTTTCTTCTGCAAATCCAACCCAAATGTTAGATGTAGTTACTCCAAAATGTTTCAGTGGTATTATCCCTTTGCCTTTGTATATTCTTAAATTGACCATGGAGGAAAAAAGGAAAACAGCAAAGACATGCATATTCGTGGACTGCCTACTATGTGCTGGGAACTTCATCTGTCTTTTTTCATTTACTCCTCACAACAACCCCATTAAGAGGTTAAGAGTCTCTCTTTACAAACAAGGGATGCAAAGTTCAGAGATGTGCAGGAATTTGCCCAATGTTACACAGCTAGTTGTGGAGAGGAACAGAATTAAAAGTATGATGCTACCTGGCTCCACAGACTGTGTGCTTTCAATTAGTGCTGCTTTGCTCAGTTTCACAAAGGTGAACAGGGCTGCATTCTGAAATAGCTCGCTAACTTTGCATCCCAGCATCCTGGAAACTGTTTTATACTCAGAGATTTAGAGAGAGACCAGAGAGACCTTGGTCATTCTGTAGTCCAATGGCCCTGTTTTGCAGATGAGAACACTGAGGCTCTAAGAGAGGAAATGGTTTGTTTAAATCCGTAGCATCCAGTCAGAGAGCTAGGGCTAGAACCCAGGCATTTTCTAGCTGTTCCTTCTGCTTGGTCTCAGGATTCTATGTCTCTCAGTTCAGCAAATCAATCAGCCAGGCTATGTGTGAGATGTCTGGGAGATTCTGAGAGTTCAAACTGAGGAAAGAAACAAAGATGAGTAAGAAAAGTTGTCTGCTCAAGTCACCTGGGTGGTTTAGTTGGTTGAGCGTCTGACTCTTAATTTCAGCTCAGGTCATGATCTTACAGTACGTGGGTTCGAGCTCTGCATCAGGCTCTGCACTGACAGCACAGAGCCTGCTTGGGATACTCTCTCATCTCCTCTCTCTGCCCTCTCTCCCCCCCCCCAAATAAATAAATAAACTTTAATATTAAAAAAAAAAAGAAAAGTTGTGGTGTCTGGGTGACTCAGTTGGTTAAGTGTCTGACTTCGGCTCAGGTCATGATCTCCCAGTTCATGGGTTCCAGCCCCACATCAGACTCTCTGCTATCAGCACAGAGCCTGCTTTGGATCCTCTGACTCCCTCTATCTCTGCCCCTCCCCTCTCGTGCATGCACACACATGTGCGCGTGCGCACCCGCACACACACACACACACACACACACACACACACACACACATACTCTCTCAAAATAAATAAACTTTAATATTAAAAACAAAGTTTTGTGCTCTTAAAGAGCCCCAACATTCTACTCATGAATATCCCTGGGAAATGAACACCATGTTCAGTGTTAAAATAGACCTTGATAAAAAGTGCAGCTGCAAGGGAGTGAAACTTTGGTTTTTCTGTGTGTGTGTGTGTGTGTGTGTGTGTGTGTGTGTGTGTGATAAGTATTCTTTTGGATTCTGAATTGAATTCTGTTTTGAATAACAAAAACTAATTTTTATGAATGTTTCTAAATTTTACTCCTTGAGATATAAAAGTTGAATTATAGCTGGTCAGGTCCTTATCCTTTTGCTAAGGTCCATGCTCCCCAAAGAAACAACTTGAGTTTGGTGGGGGGGGAGGGGTGGATAAGCCAATAGCCTACTGCAGAGCCTTACCCAAGCAAAATGCAAGTGTTGAAAATCCCCCCGACTAGCCAGACTTCTGGCAAGCAAAGAGTTTGTCAACCTGCTTGGGTCCTTGCCAGAGCTTTTGCTACACAGCCTCACAGCTCTTCCAGTAAACCCTCTCAAGGCAAAAACTTGTGATGTGTCTCTTGGTACCTTTCTTTTGAAAGCACCTAAAGGCCTTTACAAAGAAAAACAGCCTTTAAACAAGGAACTAGGGGCACCTGGGTGGCTCAGTTGGTTAGGCGTCTGACTTTAGCTCAGGTCATGATCTCACAATTTGTGGGTTCGAGCCCCGTGTCAGGCTCTGTGCTGACAGCTAACCCAGAGCCTGGAGCCTGCTTCAGATTCTGTGTCTCCCTCTCTCTCTGACCCTCCCCTACTCACACTGTCTGTCTGTCTCTCTCAGAAATAAATAAAACATTTTTAAAAATTTTTTTAAAAAATAAGGAACTAGCCTCTGCTGTGTACCTGCCATGTGATCTTGAGCCAGTTGTTTTTCTTCTCCGGGCTTCAGATTCTCTCTCTGTAAAAGGCAAGTATAGAACTATCTCAGGGACAGCAAATGCACATCATTTCCTGCAGTGGTGTGCTGGAATTGGCTTGGACCAGCTAATGAGAGCTGATTAGTACGTTTTCAGGAATTTTGTGAGCCAGGTCACAACTCACTGATTGCTTGAAATCGGCCATGGTGAGAATGTTTAAACCCTGTAAACTGATCAATGCCACAAGTCAGGACATCACCTCCCACCCCCAGCCTCAACTCCGAGAACTAGTTATTAAATATTTATCAGCATACCACTGCCTTTATGTCTCTTCAAAGCTGGTCTACACTCATGGCAGACTTTGTTAATCTATTAGAGAATTCTGGCCCTACCCTGCCTAGATATGACTCAACAGTCTTCCTCTCTTCATTGGGTCATTCCTTCCTTCCTCCCTCCCTCCCTCCTTCTCTCTCTCCTTTCCTTCCTCCCTCCCTCCCTCCTTCACTCTCTTCTTTTCCTTCTTTCCTTCTTCCCTCCCTCCCTCCTTCTCTCCCATCTTTTCCCCTTCTCTCCCTCCATTTCTCCTCTCTCCCTCCTTTCTTTCCTCCCTCCCTTCCTTCCCTTTATGCAGCAAAGAATCTGTGATGCCTTCATGTGTCAGGAGGTGGGGATAGAGTAATGAACAGAATCTACAAAATTCTTCACATGATTTGTACCCTCTACTGGAGAGAAACATATCAAACAAGTAAAAAGTGAATTAAGAAATTATTTCATATGGTGTAAGTGCTTGAAAGGAAACAAATCCAAGTGTTACAGTAGTGCCTAAGGAGAGACTAATTTAGATGTGATCATCAGAGGAGACTTCTCTGAGGAAGTGGCTTTGAGCTGAGACCTGAGTTATAAGAAAATGATGGTTCCTGCACAAAACCAAGGGAAGGGCATTATGGGAAAAGGGAACAGCCAGTGCCATGACCCTGAGATGAAAACAAACTTGACTGTGCTTTAGAACCCACAAGGCTGTGTGACTAGCATAGAGCAAGCAACCGCAAGGGCAAAGAGAGGTGAGAGCAGCAGGGCCAGATTTGTAGTGTCTTGGGACACATGATAATGAATTGGGGATTTGTTGCAAAGGAACTAGGAAGTCATGGGGGCAGGAGAGTTCAACCACCACCAATTGACAGGATTTTCTAAATACGCGTCTGAGGTGAAATTTATGCCACATGAAATTAACCATTTGAAGGTAAGCAATTCATGGTACTTAGTGTGTTCACAGTTGTACAGCCAGCACCTCTATTTAGTTCCAAAACATTTTTATCATCCCAGAAGGGAACCCTGGATCCACGAAGCTCAAGTGGTCCACCAGGGGCCTGAAGACCTGGCCAATGTCTTCCTTTCTAATGATGCAGAGACCAGGGCTCTGGACCTTGCTGCTTCTGGGTTCTTGACCTGATAGCTCTGAATAAATTTACTTATGGTTTCATAATTCCAGAATCATTTTTCAAAATCTCCATGGAACTCCAGGAATACCTTCAAGTTTCTGCAACTGGAAGGGTAGCGTCAATGGCCTAATATTTTTCTTATGACACTTAATACTCAGTATCATTTAGTGAGATCAAAAGAATATCTACGAGCACTACAGAATTAGGTATATTTTTCCTTCAAAGGTCCACTACCTCCAGTAGTACATTCCACCAAGTCCTACCAGAAACAAGCACATCATCCAAATAAATCATCCCTTCCAGGTAATTCTTGTCCTGCTTGCTTGCTTTTCTCCAACATTGGAAAGTAATAGGGAGTCAAATTGAAGAAAAAAATCCCACAATCTATATAAAGACATTTTTTCTCTGTCTTCTCATTAGCGATAGATGGTCACTAAAACCTATTAATCAAATTAAGGACAAAAAGTCACTGACTCACTAGTAAACAGCTCTGAAAATCCTGGCTTTGGAGTACAGAATATTGATCTGTTTTATCTTTTTTCCAGTGTGTCTATTCCTGGAATGGTAGTCTATACAAATCTCAGTCTTGCCTGATTTCTGATGCACTGATGCAATGGGGGAACACAACATTAAGGGCCTGGGGACTGGAGAGTGTGTCATCATTCCTTAATGTGTTCTTACATATCCCTGAATTTAAGATGATCTAATGCCAAACCACTGAGAATCCTGCAGCTCTGAGTTACATTCTTCTCCCTCCATGTCTCCCTGATAGAGAGAGGGAAGAAAGGCATGGGTGCTAGTGCCGTTCACCAAGATAAAACCATACAAATACAGTGCGGCATGGGATGGAAAGAGTTGGCAGTGGGACATAGGTGACTTTTAGACACACTTGAGGGCTATGTCAGAGAACTTCCAAGTAGAAATGTCTAGAGGTGGGACGCCTGGGTGACTCAGTCAGTTAAGCATCCGACTTCAGCTCAGATCATAATCTCACAGTTTGTGGGTTTGAGCCCCATATCGGGCTCTGTGCTCACAGCTCAAAGCCTGTTTCAGATTCTATATCTCTTTCTGCCCCTCTCCTGCTCATGCTCTATATCTCTCTGTCTTAAAAATAAATAATAAAAACAAAACAAAAGAAATGCCTAGAGGCAATTGGATCTGGGATTCTAAGGTTGAGGAATGCAGTCTGTGTTGGTAATTTAAATTTTGAAGTCATCAGATTATATACAGTAATTAAAATTACGGGATTATGTGAGATGGACCAGGAAGATAGTATAAAGTAACCATAAGAAGGGACCTAGGACAGAATATCAATATTTAAGAGGAAAAAGAAAGAGAAGGTTCAGGATGTCAGGGCTTTCTGGAAAAGGGTTCACTTCTGGGCAATATTACTTTTGTGAAGGAGTACACATTCTCTCAGACCAGGAAAATCTGCAGAAGCACCAGATAGGGCACTCATGGAGAACAATTTCACTAGATGCCCTCTGACTAATTCCAGCAAGTTGCCCTCAAGCCTTTCTTCCAACACAGAATTCTCCTGAACTTCAGACTTGTGTTTTCCAATGTCTCCTTGACGTCCACAGATACTTTATCCTTCCTTGCAAACTCATCCCTGCTGAAATATACTTGTTGTTTTTTTTTTTCATTTAGAGAGAGAGAGAGAGACAACATGTAAGCAGGAAAGGGGCAGAAAGAGAGAGAGAGAGAATCCCAAACAGGGTTTGGGCAGACAGCACAGAACCCAATGTGGGGTTCAAACTCACGAACAGTGAAATCATGACCTGAGCTGAGATCAGAAGTTGGATGCTTAACTGACTGAGCCACCCAGGCACCCCCCCACCCCTCCACACCCCCCCCACCCCGCTGCTATAAAATATTTTAAAGTACAGTACCAGGGGTGTGGGACTAATTAAGCAGAAGAGTAAAGAAGAGGAAGTTGACCAAAGAAAGATTTTAACATCCTTTTTTAAAACCGAAGTATAGTTGACATGTAGCATCCTTAAAAAAAAAAAAAAAAAACAACAAAACATTTAGAGGCACCTGGGTGGCTCGGTTGGTTGAGTGTCCGCCTTTGGCTCGGGTCTGATATCGTCGTTTTTAAGTTTGGGTCCTGCGTTGGGCTCTGTGCTGGTAGCTTAGAGCCTGGAGCCAGCTTCAGATTCTGTGTTCTCCCTCTCTTCTCTGACTCTCTCCCATTCATACTCTGTGTGTGTCTCTCTCTCTTAAAAATAAACATTAAAAAATTTAATAAAAAATAAAATAAACATTTAAAGATAGAAAAACTGTATTAAAAAAAAAAAGACAAACACCAGATATTCCTGGTATTAACTATCTATATCTACTATGGGCTTGAGTTCTTGAAGCTGAGAATGTATTATTTCCGTGTCCCAGTGCTTAGAGTCCTGTCTGGTACAGATAAGAGCTATAAACAAATGTTGTAGCATTGATTTGAGTGCACTTTCAAATGGGGCCAGTGAGACCTTCCCATGAGGTTTTACCACAAACATCCCCAAGAGGCCTGAGTCACTTTTGCTTAGGCAAGAATTTCGTCAGTCAAATGAGGGAATTGGGTCACATTCTGGGACAAGTAGCATAAAACTCTTCTCAATTGTACCAGACTAGTTTATTACAACTACCTATGGTGGAGACTTTATCACCAGTATCATTATTTCACTTCTACTTAACGTGTGTGTGTGTGTGTGTGTGTGTGTGTGTGTGTGTGTGTATACAATCAAAATCTTGGGTTACATCAACTCAGTTATCAGTCATTAGTGACTGATTCCATGTTTAGAAGAGCCCTCCTAGGGGAGGGGAATGGCAAGTTGTTGTGTAATGGGTACACAGTTTTAGTGTTACAAGATGGAAAGAGTTCTGGATATGGACGGGGGTGATGTTTATACAACACTGTGAATGTACCTAATGCTCCTGAAACTGTACAAATGGTTAAGATGGTAAAATTTTATGTTATCTGTATTTTGCTATAATTAAAGATAATGATCTAAAAATTAGAGCTCAATTTTTAAAAAAGGAATTATTGTTTCTTTTTCAAAGATTATGGCATTAGTGTAGTCTCGGCGAGGGACTGTGGAGAGTGGGAGGTTCAAGCTCATTGGCTCATCGGCAGGACCATGAACAGTGACATATGTAACTCTCTGGGAGTAGTAAGCTGTATGAGGTGGGTGGGGGGGGAGGGTTGGGTGCCACTGTGAGTTGAATTGTGTCCCCCAAAAAGATATGTTCAAGTCCTCACCCCCAGGAATTGTGAACGTGAGCTCATTTGGAAGTAGGTCAGCCTTCAGAGAGGCATGTAGACACCTTGATTTTGGACTTTGGGCCTCTGAACTGTGAGAGAATAAATATCTATTGTTTTAAGTCACCCAGTTTCTAGTAATTAGGTACAGTAGCCACAGGAAACTAATGCAGGTGTCAAGCGGAAGGGGATCACTGCTGGTCCTTTCTGGATTGCAAATACATTTGCTTAGCTAGAAGGATGGGCTGGTATAGTCTTTACTGGGCATTCTTACCATGTGCTGGCCTCACCCTGGGAGTGGGCGGGCAGGGGTCCTGCTATTGTGACTCACAGCCATTCTGTAAATGGGTGACAGGAGATAGAATCAAGGGCCACCTATGTGTTAAAGAGAAGTTACAAGGCCCGGTTACAATGCCAACTGGTTTAGCTGCTCCTCCTAAGGAAAGCAGCAGTTTGTAGCAGTGGAAAGAATGCAGTTTTGGAACCGGATGAATGAGACTTGGTTCCAGGCTTTAGGAAGCTTATAGTCTTGAAAGGGTAGTAAGATACAAATAAGTCTATTAAAAGGCAGAATGAGTCACTGTCAATCTGGGAGAGAGAGAAAATACCCAAAGAGTATGAATGGTTATAAGTTTACAGGAAGATTTCCAGAAAAGGAGGTCACTGCTATGAATTTCTAGGGTATTGACAGGGGTGGGGGCAGGGACAGAGAGGTACATTCAGTCTGGAGGAAGAGAGGAAACAGTAGGAAGGAGGAACATCTAGGATCCATTCAAGGCCTCATGAAGTTCAAGTAGAACCTTCATTCTGCAAAGACCAGAAGCATCGAAGGCCATGCTAAAACCCTCGGTTGGATTTTCCAGGTGTTAGGGGGACCTCATAAGTTTCTGAGCAAAACAATATGATTATTATTATATGATTAGATTTATGCAGTATCGTGAAGGCTGAGTTTAGTATGCCTTGCAAAAGGAAAAGTGTGGAAGCAGAGAGAACAGTTGGAAATGTATTGTTCAATCAGTCATATTTCCTAGAACGGCAACTTGCCAATCGTCATTCTATTCTTTAGAGATTTAATTACACGTGAAGTTCAGAATTCATAAAGAAGAGCAAGAGTCTTCAAGTGTGGATTGAAAACAAAGAACCAAATTCCTGCCAACTGCCTCCTTTACCCCTCTTCCTATCACCCTAAATAATAATAGATGTCAAGGGAGCTGGCGATTCATTTGTTTTTCCATTACCTTACCTTACAGTTAACAAAATGGAAGAAGCACAGTTGTTTCAGGGGATTTAGTTATGAGCCCCTGGTTTGTGATGATAGTACAGAATTACTATAGACTAATTGAGATTTATTGGCTGCATACCACCTCCAAGTCCACTTTGATAAACCTTAGTCATTTATCTCCAAAAAGAGTTCGAGACTCTACCAAGTATCAGCAACCTTTTTATCTTGCACCAGAGCCAATGAAGGGGAGAAACAGTAGGCACAATTTTTCTGTTAGTCAGAATGAAAAAAAAAAATCACTTTATTGATTCCTTCAGAGAAATGTATATTTTAATAACTTAAGTTAGCTGCTTATTAAATAGAAAAATGCCAGTGAGAAATTTGGCACTGCCTTTTAGTCACTAAAATGTTAATTTCTGTGCATATTGGAGAAGTTGCACAAAGGAAGCAGCTTTCTAGTTTCTAACTTCATGCTTAAATTAGATCAAAGATGATATTACTTACCATAAATTAACACACAAATTAGATCATATGTGTAACTAGGTGGGCCTCATGTACTTTTCATAGCAAGGATTGCTCACTGCTGATTTAGGCAAAGCTCTTTATTGGATGACTTGGAAAATGAATCCCAGAGATGGGACATGATTTGCTTGTGGTCACATGCCTACCAAATTCTTGAATTCTACCAAAGACATGCATTTGGGATCTCGTATATTTATGGTCTTACTATCATTTGTTTATTCAGCGAATGTTTATTGAATACCTACTAAGTACCAAACCTCTTCAAAGTGCTAACAATACATGGTTATAATGACGAAGTCCCTTCCCTACATTGTAGTGAGGGAGAGAAAAACAAATAATATAATAAGTCATAAAAACAGTAGTCATTCATATAGTGATAAATGGCATGAAACAGAGTCAATTAGGGTAAAGGTAGAGGCTGCTTTTTAAAAAATACTTTATTTTTAGAGCAGTGTTGGGTTCACAGCAAAGTTGAGCAGAAAGTACAGAGATTTTTCTTGTGCCCTGTGTCCCCACACATGCATGTCCTCCCCATTGTCCACATCCCCTACCACAACAGTATATTTAATGGACCTACATTGTCACATTATTATCACTCAGAGTCCGTCATTTAGACTAGGGTTTGCTCTTGGTGTTGTACACTCTATGCGTTTAAAGAAATGTATGATGGTATGCTTTTTTAAAAAAATCTCTAACACTTTATGGGCACCTGGGTGGCTCAGTTGCTTAAACGTCTGACTCTTGATTTCGGCTCAAGTCATGATTTTATGGTTCATGGGATCCAGCCCTGTGTCGGGCTCTGTGCTGAAAGCAACATGGTGGAGCCTGCTTCGGATTCTCTCTGCCCCTCCCCCACTCATTCTCTCTCTCTCTCTCTCTCTCTCTCTCTCCTTTTCTCTCTCTCTCTCTCAGTAAGCTTAAAAATGGTCTCTTAACACTTTCACTGTAAAATAGATCCTCCTCTTGAGTTACATAGGAAGGAATTTAAGGTCAGTACTCCACCATTCATTTTCTAGAAAGTAGAACACCATGCATAACTTTTCAGCTCATTTTCAAGCCTGAAGATTTGGGAGGTTGGCATAGTTACTTGTGTTGACTTCATGAGAATGTAACCCAGACATTAGTTCTCTGTGCTTTTCTCTGAATTCCTCTATAGAATTAACTCGTCCAGCTGCATTTGTGAGCTATCTGTTCCTTGTGTAATGAAGAAAGAGAGTTGCCACATGTGTTATACAGTATTTGGCCTGGAACCCCAAGTTCAGACATCTCCCCTTCCTTCAGTTCTCTTTATGTTGCCCACTCCCGAGGGGTCCTTTTCTCTCCTTTTGCACCAATGGAAAGGTACCTCTCTCTTTCCCACAGTTCAGCTCTGCCCCAGATTCTGTTTCTAAAATATCCCCTGGTGCTCCGTGAAAGAAAAGGCCGACCCCATAACAGACCTGCCGCCTTGGAAGGCAAGTTACGAATCCTCTTGGGCACTTGAGCACGCCTTCTGGACTCTGGCTCCCCCATTTGTAGCCTTCACAGCATTTCCCCACAAATTATAGAACTATTCAATGGAGGACAACTTCTGTATTTTCTTGTTACTGAGTGATACGTTAATGAGGGTTATGCACTTCACTGGTTACGGATGAAAACGTGTGAATGTGCACAATGGGGAGGAAGAGTCAGTGGTCATGGATTGTGCTTGTGTGTACTCTGCTAGGCTCAAAGTTGATCATTTAACAAAGACCATCTGGCTCATTCAGCAGTAGCTAACACAAGGAAATATGTAAAGGACTGGCTTTCTGATATTAAATATGACTTTTGAAGCCCAAATAGTTCTTACCATTAAGCCTAGGAGCAAAGGAGGACTTGCTTTAGAATGTAGAGGAAGTATTCATGAACAGGCTTATCATCCTGCCTTGTAGACCGGCTTACACATCATCTCTTCATGATGACAGAAAAATATAATGTAGCTGGGGAGAAGATATTAGCACAATACCATCAAGGGAATTTGCCTGATGTAACTGTGTAATCTACACACACATTCATTTATATGTGAAAAAATTTCTATTTATAACAATTACATTTCTCCATCTCTCTCATTATTAATTATTTCGAAGCTCATGGCTCTGTTTTTTCCTAATATTTTTTTCTCACTACCAGACATTCAAAAAAAATGTCCTGAAGGTTCCCTTAGTAAATTAATACTGCTATATTAAGACTCTTAAATCCTTTAATAATTCTGTGGATAATTCCTAAATTACTCTAAGAACTGTATCCTTGGAAATAAATCCTAAGAACAAAATGAACATGGTTTTGTTGGAAGGACCAGCTAAAGAAAATAGGCATCTTAAAATGCAGTAGAAAAGTGGCAAAAGCTTTTTAGACAACCATTAGCTATCCTCGTGGAGGAATAGATTAAAATGTCGAAAAGAAACAGAAATGTTAAATGCTCTAATTTCACATCAAGTATGTAATTTCTTTTTTGTTTTGTTTTATATCCAACCGGTTGGAACCTGCAAAATAATACAGCACAGATTTCTTTTTGTTGGTCCTATAATACTTCTCTCAGAACAATTATGCATGTGATTCGGGGACTGTCACCGCCAAACTGATGTCTTCCCCTTGAGACCACGAGGAACAATTGCCCTTCCCCATGGGGCGGCTCTAAAAGCGAGTCTAAAAGCCGAGCCCATTTGATGAATGGCAGCAGCGCTTAGGAACGTGCCCCCCTTTGTGGGCAAGGCGGGGAGGCCTCACGATTGGGCCCAAACACTTTCTCCCAAACGGTCAACTGCAAATTGTGTGTGACTGCTTCAGAGCCCTTAATTACCAAAGACAAGAAACCATGACAGTTTTTTTTTTTAAATGAGTGGAAAACATGTTTTCGGGTTTTTTGGTATCCCCTAAGGGTCTTACTGTTTTTGTTTTTAAGTTGTCCCCATTTGTTTCAAACCTTTCCTGGTTCATTAAGTGAAGGAGGCTTGGACATGTTATTTGCAAACAAGTCACACATAATATATTTGTATGTCCTGAACCTCATGCAATCTAACTTCAGATCCATAACATGTGAAAAATAAATATTTCATTAATTTAATTGTTCCCTAAATATCAATTTTTTCCCTCCCTTCTCAGTTGCTCTCCCACCTCCCCCCTCCTCCTCTCTTTCATCCTCATAGGCTTCAAAACTTCTGGAAAATGAACCTATTGAGTGTGCTGTATAGGGGAAAGTATGGGCTTTGGAAGCAGGGATTAAAATCCGTATTTGGATACTGACTAACCCTGTGCTTTTTGGAAAAATTATGTACCCTCTCTGAGACTCAGCTTCTTATCTGTAAGATGCGGTTAGGAAAGCTCTTGAATACCTGGAAAGATCCAAGGATAGATGTGAAGTAGAGTCCTTGCAGGGGCTGGGCTGCATAGTGGCAAGGGTACAGGAGCCCGCAGCCTGGGGCTGACTCCTCAGTGGACCCCTCACTACCTGCATTGAATTCCTTCACTTCTCAGTGCCTCGCTTTTCTTATTTATAATTTAGGAACAAAAATAGTACATACCTTATCTGATTGTTGAGAGGCTCCAATGACATCATACATGCATCCTTAGACGATGCCCACCATAGTAAACGCTTGACACATTGCTTGCCATTATTGTAAAACAAAACTTCCCTGCTCTCTGCTGGCCTCTCCTCTTAGTATTGTGTCAAAGGTGTATCTACTCCCTCTGTTCCAAACTCAGGGACACTCGAGTGAACCTGGCCAGCTCCGAAAATTAGCTTCTTCCCTACTCCAAGAGATTATGCAGTGTCTCTCAGTGCTGATGAGTGCATGGTAGGATAGCAGGGAGGTGCTCTCCAGCATTGACTAGATTTTTTGTCTCATGAGGCCTAGAAAGAGATTGGGTGTTAATGGCATTCATTTGGGAGGAAGGCAGAGTTGCAAAGCTAAGTGATGTCTGCACCCCCACAGTGGTCCGTCCTGCCCTGGCCGGCCTGTGGGGCTATGGTCAGTGCCTTAGTCTACCAGGTTAGGATCCTGAGCTAAGGCACCAGGAGACATCTGAAAGGGGAAATATGCCGCTATGGAGTTTGATGTTATACAGAAAGTACAGTGGAGCTGGCCACTTAGGACTCAGGCCCATGCATGTGGTCAAAGTGCAGGAAATGAGCCCTGGGAAAGTCATGGTGATTCTGTGAAATATTTGATTGTCTAGAGATCTGGTTAGGAGAACTACCCCCATAGAGCCCAATACAGTTGAGACTGCCAAGCAGAAGTCAAGAGCAACTCATCAATAGGAGCTGAAGACATATGACACCTAACTCATTTAGGGGATCAAAGGGTTCACACACAATCTCCACTTTGGAATTTTATCATATTTCTGCACTTCCTCTAGTTTACAGCCTTCTCTCAGCAAGTTACATTCAGAATTTCTCCATCTAGTGAATTCTGGCCTAGAACCCACATACTAAAAGCAATCTCTCTCCTATAATCTGGGTGACTTTAGATGGTGGGCTAAGCCTAGAATAGTGGATGCAGCATTTATCACTACCATGTATTTCCCACATGTTGACTCCTTCCTTCTACTGGCCAGTGAATGTATAAGCAGGAGGATGTGTGAACCAAGCCATTGGTCCCATTCTGACTCACTACGCACCATGACCCACTGCACATATCCCCCAAATTTGTGACTGATTGCTTATCTTAAGGAAGTTTGGATTTGTGGGTTGAGTGCCTGGTCTCACATATATATAGGCTTTTGATAATAAGAGTTGTAGACTTTCCTCTTCATTTTTACCCTAGTATAATATAAGCCCAGGCACTCAAAACTAACCTCTCTGTATAAAATAAGAACTTAGAAAAATCTTGTAAAGGCAGAATTCTAATACCTGGTCATAGGCCTCCCTTCTTAGTTCTCAAAAGGTTTAAGGGATTGGTGGCATTGGTGGTCAGGGGGGATGCCTGGGTTATTGTTACCCCTGGAGCTTCCTTTTTCTCTTAAATAGTAGCCTAGTCTTAACCTAGATAACCTCAAAATAGGTCACTAAGTGGTTTATCAATCCAGAAATAATCCTTTACAAATGTCCTCTAATACCTCTAACTCCCAGAGCCCTGTAATTCTGAAAAGGACTCCCCAACTAAATGTAACCTGTTAGACAGGATCTTCTCTTCAGAGATGGACAGAAGTCGTCTTGCTGCAGCAGGAAATAGGTAACTGCACTTTAGGTCACTAGGTAGCCAAGGATTTAGGGGGATCATCTGCTATAGTCACAGTATTTTTACACAGATTCCATTTAACTAAAAATCTCAGTCACATTCCTTACCAGGATACCTGCTTAAAAGTTGGATATTAGATGTTAAAATATGAGGGTCTGCACTATACAATCCTTAATAGACCTATCAATTTGTTGTTATATTACATCTAAAATATTTGATCATCAGAAGATTGGATAGGTTATCCTGGGAAAATTGTAGACATTTCTCATGATGGCTTTCTTAAGATAATTTAAAACTTCTGAAATTGGCCAGTCTCAGGTTATTTAATACATATTACTTATGTTTCTAAAGCCCACTTCTGAATAGAACTCATAAAACCAAAAGTTCTTCAGAGAACATTGGCCAAGTCTGACCTCTGTCCTTCCTTAGTGACATAATGTGCAGAGGATATTTGCAGAACCCTAAGGGAGCCACTTCACCTGAATAAAGTGAGGGGGGATGGGAGGGACAGAGTTGCTGAAGACTCAGCATTTTAGTGACTAATTTGGTCTCATTGTAACCTGGAGCTAACAGAGTGAATCTCATACCAACACTAAAACACATTTCCTCTGTAGGAAATAGAGTACAGAAGGCAGAACCAGAAAGACAATGGTGAAGTATGCTTACCACGACCTCAGCTGATCAGTTGAGTCAGGGTCAAGGTTGCTTTCTTAGTGTGGAAGTTTGGAGAGGAAAGTTAATAGAGGGAATAAAAGTGGGTGTGTCCACCCTAGAGTCCTTTGTTAAGTCAGTCATTATGGGGGTGGCCTCACTGAGTCAAAACAGACATTCCAAAGCAGATACCCATTTAACTCCTGTGCAAATTTGTAATATCCAGTAATTGTCATCATCTGACTTAACTGCTAAGACCTCCCCTTGGAAAGCCTTCTGACTCAGTTGCCTGTCTTATCCATGGACATTACAATCTTAATTATGGCCAGACCCTGAAGAGGATGTCAACATCTTGCTTTCATTGTTTGAAAGTGATTTCATTAGATTTTACCCTGTCTTTGTTTTGATGTCTATAGAGTGTGCTGGAACACAGACCTGGCCAAGGCTGTTTCCTCTTTCAGCCTGGCTTGGCTTGGCTCCTGAGTGATTTAAGATCTGTTTTGGAACTAAGTGTGGGAGTTGGGACTAATGTGAAGTCAAGGTCAGATACACAACTATTGTCATGAGGAGATCCAGGCAGAACTGGATCTGCAGATCCACAGGAAATGTTCTTAGTGGGCTCTGTTCCATTGGTTATAAATGATCTGATTCATTCTCCATGGAAGGGCAGAGGAAAGTGATCCATTTAGAATGTTCTCCCAACCCAAGGCCCCTATTCCATACAGGAAGATAGAGATTATAGTCACTGGGGTCTCTTTCCAGGAATCCCTCATTCAGAAGAAGAGATGGTGTTGGGATCCATCTGAGATGCTTGTGTATTGGAGTCAGAAGGTAGTGACTAGGTTGGTGCAGTTCTGTCCTGCCCTAATGAATAGAGTTTCTTCTTCATTCTAGCCAACTGAGCCCTTATAAATACAGATCGTATCGGCTCACTCCCCTGCCTGAAACCCTTGGATGGCTTGCTGTTGATTATAGAATCAAATCCGAGGTCTTACACATGCTATTTTAGCTCTCCTCAGTCAGGCAGCCACTTACTTTTCCAGGCTCTTCCCTGACTGTGGAGCGCATCTTCTCATCCTTTGTGGCAAGAGCTGGCAGATGACAACTCACAGGCCAAACCTGGCCCTCACGATCAGAGCAAAAGCTAAGACTAGTTTTTATATTTCTGAACAATTACATATTAAATGGTTTTACAAGTACCAACATAGTGTCTTCAATTTTACCTCTTGGCCCCCAAAGCTAAAATATGTATGCTCTGGCCCATTACTGGAAAAGTTTACTCTCTCCTGCTTTACATTATCATGATACTTTCTGCCATGTAACCCTAAGTGCCCCATTGTTGCAGGTAAAAAGGGGATTCTATCATGCCTGTGCTCAAGCTATTCCTGCTACCCCAAATTGCCTCTCTTCCACAGTTATTGACCAGCTTCCATGTACAGGCTCTTGGAATACAAATCAAATAAGCAATCCTCCCCGCCCTCCTCCCACAACCTCTAACCCTCTAGGACCTCAGAGCTTAGGAGGAAAGACATGAAGTTATACCAGTGAGTACTGAACTGTGTGGTAAAGGCTCTGTTGAGTTAAATACAGGGTGCAATGGTGGGGGGCAGGTGGCTCAGTTGGTTAAGCGTCCAACTTCGGCTCAGGTCATGATCTTACAGTTCGTGGGTTCGAGCTGTACGTCAGGCTCTGTGCTAACAGCTAACTCAGAGCCTGGAGCCTGTTTCGGATTCTGTGTCTCCCTCTCTTTCTGACCCTCCCCTGTTCACGCTGTTTCTCTCTTTCAGAAATAAGTAAAAACATTTAAAAAAATTTTTTAAGTAAAAAATTTTTAAAAAATACAGGGTGCAATGGAAACATCAGGGAGAGCTTCTTGGAGGAGGTGGTGTCTGAGGTGGTATTGAAGAAAGAACAGGAGTTTGCAAGGTAAAAAGGGGATTCAGTTAAGGGCTTTCCAGGCAGATGAGTAGTATCTGAAACCACATGTCAAGGCCTTCATATTAAAAGAAAGCTGTGTGAGGTCAGGGTGGGATTTTTAACAGGGAGTGGCAACACTTTATTTGCCCTGTATAAAGATGCTACAGGCAGCAAGGAAAGGGCAGAGGAAAACTGGGGGCAGGGAGATGAGACAGGAGGTGGTTTTACTCTTCAAGTTAAGAAATCATGATATATCAACTAAGTCAAAGACAGCTTAGTAATGAATCCTCAACAGCAGATGGCTTGTTGCAGGTAGACTGAGGGAGGAAGAAAGCCAAGCCCTGGCCCCCTCTTATATGTACCCAGGTCCAGTCACTGAGTAGATGATGGAGTCACCACCTGAGCTAGGGGATGCCAAGGAAAATCTGGTGGAGGTGTGTGGGGAAAATGAGGTGTTGGGTCTCTTATTCAAACATGACCACCTTTGGGGGCACCTGGGTGGCTCAGTCATCAAGTTGGGGAGCCTCCAACTTGATTTCTGTTCAGGTCATAATCTCACGATCATTGATCAAGTGCTGTGTTGGGCTCCATGCTAAGCATGGAGCCTGTTTAAGATTCTCTCTCCCTCTGCCCCTCTCCCCAGCTCTCACATGCTCTCTATTTCTCTCAAAAATAAATAAATAAATAAATAAAATAAATGTGAACACCTTCAGGTATTGCCTCTTCCAGGAAGCCCTGAGGCTGAGTTGGGGTCCTCCTTTGTACCCTGACAGCATTGTTTACTTCTAACAGAATGTTTACTGAGTGACATTGAACTGATTTGTAGTTTTCTTCCTTTTTTCCCCACTTACGTAGAGCAAACTCATTGGAAGTTCATATAGTATCTAATTAATCTTTGGATCACCAGGACCTAGCACAATGCACATTTGCTCAAAAAAAGGATCACTGAGCTTAACTGAATAGAGATGGGGGCCGTCGGGAGAGGCCTTCAGTGTGATGGGATTCATGGAGAACCAGCTTTGTTATCAAATGGATGTTCTCACTTTGTGAGCTTTGTTGTCACTTTGTCTTTATCCATCTCTGTCTGTATCTGTATCATTTACATCTACAGTACCTCTCCTGCCTATCCTTCAAGGGCGCTATAGAATAAAATGGAAGCAGCAGCCATGGATAGTGGGAAGAGCTGGGAGTGGGAAGTCAGAGACCAGGATTCCAGTCCCAGGTCTGCTATAACTATAGGAGCTTGAGTAAATTATTTCTACTCTCTTGGCCTCCATTTCTCCATTTATAAAATGAGTGTGTTGAATTAGATCACATTCTCTTCGCATCTAGCATTCTCATATGCTTTATGAAACTAGACAGTAGGTGCAGAAGGATCATGCAAATGAAAATCCCTATGCAGATGGCAGAGAAGAGTCCCTTAGAGTGCAAGAAAGGCTTGGGCAGTAAAAAGTCGCCCCATAGTGAATGTTGTGATGTGCCATTCAGACCCCCCACCCCCCATTGCTGGGAGCCTGCATTCCATGAGAATTGTCCTTAGCTAAAGGGAGCAGCCTCTCCCAAGGTAGCTCCTCCCTGGGAAAGTGGCCATCCAGTCACTGGTCAGTGTGGGACACAGAGACCCAGTTCTGTCATCTCAGCTTTGGACCTCACTGAGGAGTCACTTCAGAGCTCCCTTGGGTCTCCACTGGAGCTGCATCCTTGTTCGACTCCCTTCTTCTCCCTTCACTTCCTTCCCAAGAATACATCTGTGCCCAAACTGCCTTTCACAGTGTTTCCAGGGGACCCTGACCTTTGGCTTCTTACTCTCTGACTTCTTGTCCTCTAGGGACTGTGATCAGGCATGTCAATGCTTCCCCCTCCCCCATCAAAAGGGCTTGCTGGAAGGCCTTGGCTCTTCCAGGGTTCAGAAATGCAGGTTGAGACCTTTTACTGTCCAGATGACACCTGCAGCGTGTCCCACTGTACTTTGCAATGGCAAACAACGTTTTTTCTCCCAGGGAAACTGCTCTAGTGTCCAAAGTCACAGAAGGATTGGGTTAGTGATACCCCCAAAATGTAAATCAATCAATCAATCAACCAACCAATCAATCAATCTCTAGAAAAATAGACCATACTTCATAATGCCTCTCTCTAAATCCACACCCAGAAGGAGATGGGGGAAAGGCTTATTTTTCACAGGTCTTGCACCAACAGTCTGAATTTCACAATCTGGTCATTCCTCCACCAGAAGTTTTACGTCTGATACTTTCAAATGTGCAATAAAGAGACCAGAACTTCTGTTGCTCAAGTTCACTGTCCCACAAAGAGGCAAAGAAATATAAGGAAAAGGAAAAAGAGATAAATGATTAGTTATAATTCTCTGAATAGCTAGATAAATATTGACTAAGAGTGCCCAAGAAAAAGAAGCGTTCAGATCTGCCTGGAAAAATTAGCTTCCCTCCCTCCTTCTCCCTACTGCTTAGCAGCCCTGCCTGGAGAATCTGGCTCCGTTATTTCTCTCAGTGGGAGCTGCCATTTTAATGACTCAGCACAGCACTTTTCCAGCAGGAGACCCTGCCTCAGGTGGCTGATCAGGCCTGGGAGAATTGAGGTCTCATTTAAACTAAGTCAGAAATTTCCCAACTTGTTTTAAAGTGAAATAGATTTGTAAAAATAACAATAATAATTATTTGACAGTGCTGTTACAGCTCCCAGATCGAAATTTAACCTTTAAAGTAGAATCCATCCTTTTCCTTCCCCGAAGAAACTGGAATTCTGCTTCTCTGTCACAACATTTGCCAGTGCAGATAAGCCTAATGTGAGTGAGGAAAAGAGAGAAGCAGAATGACTTGTTTCCTTGAGTTTTGGGTCTTCCTTAAATACTCATTATTTCTCACCTATTAGCCATTGATATACATTTTTAAAGTAATAACTCTTCATATTTTATGCCTCTATAAAAATGTGTAAATAACACAAACCTCTTCATTTGGGGGGAGTCATTGATACTTTTCTATGTAATTTACATAATTTAAAAAATTGTAGGGGCGCCTGGGTGGCCCAGTCAGTTAAACGTGGGACTCTTGATCCCACGGCACAGATCATGATCTCATGGTTCTTGAGTTCAAGCCCCATGTCAGGTTCTGTGCTGTCAGCACAGAGCCTGCTT